AATAAGTCGTCGCTGCGCTTTTTGATTTTTTAATTCCAAAATCAGCTGAATTTACACATCCAAAAGATAGAGTAGCTAGTAGATGAGCCAGAAAACTATCTTGTAGAAAGAGACTTACTCTCTTCTTTAAATGATATGTAATATGTCGAAAACCTGCTTTTGTAGATCTTTGATGAGTTTGAATAGAATGAACAAAAGGAACTCATTCGAAATAAAAAGGGATTGGAAAATAATGTAGGATTAGAAACGAAGTTCAACTTTGCAATTAGTAAAATAAGTGAACGAACTTTACATATAGTTGTTGAAATTTAGATGAATTATTATGCTCACACCTGTAGTGGAGCAACCTCAGTTCACATTAAATGGTTAATTTCGGTGTGAGATCCAGTCGCTCTAGATTGTTGATTATTTCTATGGTTTCTGATAAGTGGAGGCTGCCGAAAAGGAAATTTGAATACTGATATCTGAATATCTAGAACTATACTAAAGCAGTGCAAATAGTTCATCTCGTTTATGTATGTACTTTGTTCACACAAGGAGATAGAACAGAACAAGGCAAATAGAATAAAAACCTTGGCAACGTATCACAGTCTTGACAGTAGCTTACTGTAACATGTTCAGCCAATCAGCGGCTGTGTTAATGCTACAAGAGCTGTTGACTCAATCTGACAGCGCTAATGATTACCGTTAGAGCAGTAGGGTAAACCGAATTGCTCGCTAAATCTAGGTTATTTTGGATGTCACCATTACAACATCTTGTTTTAGCGCTCATTCTCTTTACTTTCTCTTCGAAAATGAGTCTAATTTCATATGAAAAACTACGTGTCGTAAAATATTAGAGCGAAATAGTTTCATGTATGAAATTTGGATTCTTTCAAAATATTCCAAACGGCTGACTTCCGAAACTTCGGTTGGTTTATTTCGGTCTTGCCCAGACCACGCAGTTTTTCAGCCATTCTTCAAAGTAGGTTTTTGCGTATGTGGCTACCAAATACTTGCGATACATAAGTTTTTACGACATTTGAGAAGAAAATTCCCTACTTTTTTTTATCTGTGCGTTTCTGAGTGGACTCGTCGTATTCGCCCGTTTATCTCTTTTATAATAAATACCGCAGTATAGACCCTATAGCAGACTTACTAGAAAGCTTATTTTGAGAGGAATATTTCGTGATTTTCAGTGTTTACGGGGGGTTTTTGAAATTAGAATTCTTTAAGATTATTGGGCAGAGGTTAAAACACGCATAGGCTATAGATGCACCGCTTTTCAATCATGCTCCGGAACAACATCTGAGACAAAGTATATGTATAGCTTTGAGGTTCACAACCCAGAAGCAAACTGCCAGGCCTACCAGTGCCTATGCATTATCTTCTATTGTTATAACAAAAGGAGCAGTTCTCGTTTTGATTCTTACTTTTCATCAGCTCGCATATATGTGAATTTTCCAGTAAACTTTCCATTTTTCCAGAAAAATTGATTCGATGTCATCCTACGGCTTAGCGATAACACATTGCTGGTCTTAACGACGACGAGCAAAAATTCAGCTGTGGAGGACTTTGACTCTTCATCGACTAGAAGCCAATACTACTCGACTATCCATGCGTCACTGGCTTTTGTTGCTCTTCGTTTCAAGTATGCAGTTTACGAAGAGTTTTTGTTGTTCTATGGGGTACTACCATGATTTTTTTAGTATGCTCAGCGTATAATGGCTGTTTGCACCAACGGTCTACGTGCCTCCGTACGCCAGAATGCCGTAAATACTTTGATAACTTTGAAGAAACTTGCGGGTACTCTCTGTCAAGTAAGTTTAAGCCTCCTTTTTGGATCAAAGGTTTTTAGAATATACAGTTTCTTTTTTTAGCATGTACAGTCGAATCACCTTCCGATTGCGTC